CTTTAAATTGTTGTACAAAATATACAAGTAACTTTTCAGCAAAATCTAACAATTTTTTATTTTGGGAAAAATCACCGGACACTAATATACATAAAGAAATATGAAATGTTAAAAACTGCGAATAGTATGGTTCTGTCAAGTTGCCTTTAAGTGCTAGAGGTCCATAGTACAATAAAAATTCCTTGAATTCAGTAGATTTCCAGTTTGCAAGCTCATCTGTAGATCTAGGTAGGCTTGAAAATTCAGAGACAATTTTTTCTAAATTTAACTAAATTATTATTAAGTGACATTACATTATCTGTCAACATTTTGGCATTGCCTGGTCCTTTCTTAAGCCAAAGTGATAATAATTTTTTCATTACACCTAGACAGACTAGGTGCATATAATCAAAAGGGACATTACTGACTAACCCTACTGTTAATTGTGTAAGAACTGTGGTTCCTTTATGATATGTGTTTTTATCAATCTTTAAAAAATCAATATCATTTCGTAATTCAGCAGTTAGATTATTATAGGACATATTTCTATATGGTTAATACCCAGACAACACACCAAATCCTTTGGATATTTACTGGACATCCCAATATCCACTGAATGTCCAGTCCATGGTGGATATCTATTTTATATCCATGAGATGTAATTTATAGACATGCAAATGTCCATAAATAATAGTAATTATATAACAAATTAATAAAAAAATTGCGCCATTGTGGCTAATAGTACCGTTTAGATATTTAAAATTATTTTTTTTTCAAGGTGTATTCAATATCCCATGGATATCCACTGTATATATCAAAGTCTAGGCGGGAACGTAAACCACTCGATGTAATTTATGGACATAATATGTACCTAAATATCGGAAAATATGTGAATGGATTTAATAATTATTAAATTACTTAAATATTACGCCATGTGATAACTAAGAAAGTATGTAGATATGGTTTATAGACATTTAAAATTAGTAAGTTGTATTCAATATCCCACAGATATCCGCTAGATAATTAATATTGGCAATTAACGCGAGCGCAAGCGCGGATATTTTCTGCCCTCACAGGTGCCATCGGCCATTTTATAGTTTGTGTCGTGTGCATGAGTTTCATTTGATAATTTTGGATTAAAAGTAGGTAAGTAAGCTTTAAACCTAAATTTATTAGCGTTAAAGGTTGATAGACTTTAGTTAAATAAGAAAATGGTTAAATTGACGTTATTATACCAAGGGATATTAAAAGAAATAATGTTAATTAGTTTTACAGTTTTTTAACAGACTCGATGAATTTAATCTTCAATAAGATAAAAATAAAACAGAATTAAAATAAATAACTCATACTTACAAAATTACACTAATAATAAACAAAACTTGCTTGTGCTCAACGTATTTGTAGCAACTTAATAGATATATGTAGAAATTATGTGAAATAACATTCCACAACTACGTATACAACATAGTAAATAATGTGCAGGGCCGTATTTGAGATATTAATTGTGCTTTGAGTGATAGTGTTGTAACCATATTAGGGTTTTGTAAAGATAAATATTCTCATTACAATAGTGTTTTTGAGTTTCATTTAGTGTTAATTTAAGTTTAGTTTTCGTGCTTTCGTCATAAAATAATGTGTATCATGTGTATAACTTAATTTGTTGGAAATATTCTCCTAAAGGTTGCTACATGAACACCTAGAAATATTTATTTACTAAACCCAGGAAATGATTTATTATGCGGTTTAAAAAAAATTTCAGGTACCAAACCTTTATTATTGATGAACTTATTTAAAAATCTTACTATCCTTATTCTTGTAAATGGTAATAAAACCGTCACAAATTCGATTGCAGTTTGATTCTAAACAAAATTTTGAAAAAGCTCAATAATGTGAATTTTACGACTTACGCTTGGAAAATAATGAACACTTCAGTTTTGATTTTGACATTAACACTTTACAGTTTACAATTTATTGGGGGCTTTTTCGCAAATTTCCTTTTTAATGTAAACACTATCATACACACTAAACGAAATAAACATAAAACTTACAAGTAAGAAAAACTTCTAATTATAATTGATACAAATTAAAATATAAACAGTGACCATATTTTGAAAAGTAGAAACCGGGAAAAACCGAAAACGGAGATTTTTCTACGAATTCTCTTTGCAGTAGTGACGGTTTGGTTCATTGAAGAGCAAAAGGGTTATTTGTGTACAGACCAAAAGCTCGACAAATATTTTCGTTTATTGACAAAAAAAAAAGATCCTACATTATGTCACTCTATGGATGTTAGATGTTTGTCTTTAATGTGAACAACTAAAGAGAACATAAATGAATACAAGCGATATAGAAACCACTTAAGGGATTTAATTAGAATTGCTAAAGCAAATTATTATAGAAGCTTGATAGAAAAAAATGATCGTAACTCTTCAACGCTGTGGAAAACAGTAAATAATGTTATGAACAAAACTCGCATATCTAATATTAGTGAAATCACTCTTGACAACAGTAAAAAAATATCTGATAAAAAACTAATGGCGAACGAATTTTGTACTTTCTTTTCTAATATTGGCGCCAATTTAGCAACAAAAATAAATCCCATTAATAAAAAATTTAATAAAAGAATAATTACAAATTCGTTTTTTCTATCTGACACTAGTGAGATAGAAATTATAAATGTCATCAGTTCTCTTAAAAATAACAAAGCTACGGGTATTGATGGTATACGCGCGGAAATAATTAAAAAAATAACAAATCAAATCGTAAAGCCTTTGGCATATATAATAAACAAATCTTTTAAGAGCGGAATATTCCCAACACCATTTAAAATAGCGATAATTAAACCTTTATTCAAAAAAGGAGAGAAAGACAATATGACTAATTATAGGCCCATATCCCTTATAACAAATTTTTCAAAAATATATGAAAAACTTTTGAAAGTAAGAATAATCAATTTTCTGAATAAATATAATATTATTTCTGATGATCAATTTGGTTTTAGGGAAGGGAGGTCTACACAAGATGCAATAACTAAACTCACAAAGTACATTTATGAAAATATTGATAAAAAAAAGCATCGCTCTGTATCTTCATAGATCTCGCCAAAGCTTTTGATACAGTCAGCCATTCGAAACTGATTGAAAATCTGGAAAATATAGGTTTTAGAGGAAGAAGCTATGATTTACTACTCTCATACTTAACAGATAGAAAACAATCTGTGATTATTGATAATATAGTCAGTGAAACTAATAATGTGGTATATGGCGTTCCGCAAGGGACCGTACTGGGGCCAATTTTATTTAGCATATACCTTAATAACTTATTTTCTATAAATTCCAATGGCAACATTATCAGTTTTGCTGACGATACTGCAATTGTTTAGGAAAGCACTGACTGGGTATCTTTGAAATTATTAGTTGAAAGTGACTTGCCTCATATATTTCACTGGTTTCAGCAACACTTACTTACGGTAAATTTCAGTAAGACATTCTTTGTTCCCTTTTCATCATACGCTAATGCTTTACCAAACTATAACAAAATCGAAATTAAAGTCAACAATATTGGAATAGAAATTAAAGCAGTCTCTAATATCAAATACTTGGGAATATATATAGACAATCATTTAAAATGGGATATTCATATCAACTTTGTTACTAAAAAGTTAAGAATGTTACTGCATACATTCAAATTCTTGTCAGAAATATTAAAATGGAATGAGCTAAGAATATTATATTATGCTCTTGCTGAAACCCATATAACTTACTCAATTATTGCTTGGGGCGGTGCACTTGATTGTCACATAAATAAATTAAATATTACGCAAAAATGGCTTATAAAGATTTTAATGAAAAAACCATATGCCTACTCGACAGATCAGCTCTTCGAAGAGAGTCAGTTCTTTGATGTTAGACAACTTTTCTGTCAAAATCTTCTTATGCGACAGCATTACAATAAAAATGAGTTGAAAAAGAAAGAATACCATTACAATACTCGTTCTAGGCTCCATACTTTTATCTTACCTAAAGTCGATAAATCAAATACCCAGAGAAGTTTTTGGTACATGGGTCCAAAATTATATAACAGACTACCTACAGAAATAAAAATTATTAATTCGAAAAGACTGTACAAGAAAAAGATAAAAAAATGGATACTACAACACTCTCGACTAACGATACATGAAATGATTGAAAATTACTTTATTTAAAAAAAAAAACAAATAAATATAAAAAAAAATTATATACTCATCTTAAGATCCTCAAAAAAAAAACAAAACACACTTGAACTAAAATTAAAATTTTGTCAGTTGTATATTGACGGACTACAGACAGGTTTTTCTTGTGGAATGTTAGTATCACAGCTGATAAATAAATATAATAACAAAAAATTCATATTTTTATAAAATTTTGTTTAAGAGGTGCATTAATTATATTGTTTGTTTGATTATATTGTTTGTATCACATACAAGTGGTTTCACTACTTTTGTGATAATTTATGTTTATTCGCCCTTTGTATTTATATTTATATTTTTATGTAATTGTATATATATTTTTTTAAAGATGAATAAACATTATTATTATTATTATTATTATTATTATTATTAATAAAAAGGAGCTATTACTTTAAATTGTCCATCTTATTTTAGTAAAATGTGTAGTGTCTTCAGTGTTACAAGTCATTTATAAATATATTTGCAAATTGTACAGTTTTGATCAGCATCCCTTCTATAACCGTAATAGAGTAATATTAATTAAAGCTGCAGCTAACAAATATATAAACATTATTAGGATGTTTTACCTCATTAAAATAAAATTTAAAAATGTGATAGCATAAGACATCATAACAATAAAATTGTATTTTTTAATGGGTAATAAAAACATAATTTTTATATTATTTGTTAGTTTGCCATAATATATTTTCTATTAATACCTACCAACAGTTATGTGGAACCATAATAAATTAAATGAAATTTCTAGACTTTATAATTATTATTCTATAAAATACTAAGTAATGTAAAATCTTCACTTGCACATTTTTTATTCCTTGAAACTTATTTTATCAATAAGTGAAATTACTAAAAATTAGTTATTATAACCTTAATCATCCGTTTTATAACAATTAATAAATATTATTTAATTTTCTAAAAAAATGAAAATGTAGGTTTGGGTTGTATTCAAAATAGTCCGTATCTGGCAGATCGGTCATTTTGGGTTGACAACATCCACGCCCAGTGATACCATTTTGAATGTTTAAAAAAGATTCCTATAGCGTCTTCCTACCTTCTAATTCCATGATTAAACCTAATAAAACTAATCTTAATTTTTCTTTATTTTAGGTTTCCTCTTACCAAACAACCGTGCAAAAATATAAATTACTAGCCTAATGAACACTTTTATCAATAAATATATTATTACGATTATTAGTAAGGAAATAAAGGCTAAGAACCCAACAACATCCAACATATAATATTTCCAAGCTGGCATATCAACTGTAGGACTGCGAAGGTGTTTCGCTCCTTTGTGTCTGATGACGTACTCTGTCCAGTAAACGGCTCGCTGCAGACTAGGAATTTCTTCATCCCTAAATATTTTCCCCATCATTTGGGCGGTTTCCGTATATCTACAACATTGTTTTTATTATTATTTTCCACAATGTATTTCAATAAGAACAAACCGGACCTCTCGCGAAAATCAAAAAATTTTTGAGGATTTTCTAATATAAAATTGTATTTATATGTGCGCCACTGGGAATGCTTCGCGATGTTATGTGTC